GTTTCGCTTCTTGTAACAACGTCCGTGTGACAGATTCTTAGTTTATTTCACAATGCTGTTTTAACTGTGAATGTTTATAGTGTTAGGTGTGATTGAAAGATGGCCGTGAATAATGAAATGATAATGTACTTTGAATTATCGGTCGTTGCTTACTTGATGATACTGCCCTTGCATCTTTTCCGGAGAGACTGTGGGTTTACGAAAAACCTCAGCGAAGTAAAATTGAGCAAAAAGGCTAACCTCCAGAATACAAGTCTAAGGTTTTAAAACTGTTCGGGACAACATTTTATGTTTAGTGCAGAAATTACGAACGCCTTTCCTCATTCACCTTGCATGAAACTGATTTCCTACAGGCTTTGTCCTGGGCGTATGGTATGTACAAGATGCCATAAATAACCACTTCTTTTTCTTTAGATATCACGGATTAGACCCTCTACCCTGTTCCGTTTCAGAGCTTATTCTGAAATTATTAATCCTTTTTAGACAATTAGCAGGTCTGATTGGACGGGTGATCGGACAACGTTTCGCCATAAAACATGACAATACAACAGGAAAACACGAAAGCAGCCTACGTCCGTGACCCAAGCATGATCTGAACCCACGATTCTTGTGTTTGAGCGATCAGTCATAAGACACTTGAACTACATTAATAACTGTTCTTCGTTGTACGTGCACAGGAGATGAACGCTGCTAGTAAAATTATATCATAAAATATGAACACGCAGTTCAGATTGTGTAGATTGTCTCAGTTCAGATTTATAAAAACGGATTGTGCTCCATTTAACAACACGTTTGAAACACTGCGTAAGAAGCAACTTTGTCAGAATTCTGAACATGTAATAAATAATAGTTTATGGCAAGCAGCTGTCACTCACTGTCGGCAACTCATACGAATGTCTAATACTAATAGAAATCATATCGACAACTTTTCTGCCATTAACAATTGATTTAGTTGAGTTAGTTATTAGTTCTGTGGCTTACATATATATAATCCTAAGTTTTACAACTCGCGTGTGGAATGAAGTTCTACATAATTTAAATGGAAAGTTTTTTACGATTCTTTGTCCTGGACACACAGTGATCAACGGAGGTAGGACAGATAGTGTTGTATTAAATTTACAAAAAAAGGCATCTTTCCTATTGTCGCAGATTTTGCCATAGTTATTTGGCATTCTTGTTCCTAGCGCCAGGTGCAATATTATTTTGGCAAACTGTATGTTATGCACCAAATATTTGCTTTTAAGGCTGCAACTGAACACAAGAATATCTAAATACATCGAACGTGTAAATCTTTTATACGACGTAAGATCACTCGGCAGAAATAAATAACAACTGAGTGCGATATGCATAATACGTACTATGTAAGCTGTTTAGTGATATTGCAGTAGCTGTGGGATTATTTTAAGACGCTGTATCAGCAGCAAAATTTGAAAGACGAAGGTAAAAGTAACTGGTTTAAAATAGGTTACGAGAGAGAGAAAAATAGGAAACCCAGGTAAGTCACTTCGATCGGCTCATGGTTTGATAGGAATATGCCGGACGATGTGTGTGATCAGCAAACATCGAAAGGCATAACGCTAAGCACATCTGTTGTTTAGTCAGCCTGTAGTAAGCAATAGGTTATCAGTTCTAAATCCTTTAAGTGTTAATGATAAATCAGTACCCCTTTTTACTCTCTATCTATCGTTTTCTATGTCTGTTCTTTCTTCCTTTCTGTTTTATTTTATTTATTTTTATTCTCCCCTTCTTTGAAACCACAGTATACCCTATCTGTACGATTGAGGAAACATTTATCGGTCTTTGTTATAATGCCATTTATGCCTTGCGTCTGCTGAGTGAAGGCAGTTCTACGAGTCCAGTCACTTTCAGGGTTGTTGGATTAACCGGGTTGCATCAGTTTTTAAGCAATACAATTTTTTTTTGTATTTACTAATTAATTTTAAGCTCAAGGAAAGCGCTGACAAGTTAACAGAGTATTTTTACTAGTGAAATTAAAATTATATCAAGGCCTATACCGCCAAAACAGCTATGTGGAACTTGGTTTATAGTTTATTATAAACGTATATGTAGCCTATTTAAAATGATCTAATGGGAATCTTTATAATTTTTACACTTCAAAAACTGTTAGTGTGATCAAATCAAGGATCACGAGGCTGGTGAGAAGTGTTATCTCTAATTGTTCAGCGTCTTATTAGCCTTTATAGTAATCTGTTTAATATAAAGTTCTCTAATTACTCTGTGAACTTTGTGAGTCTTCTGTCTTGTTTGGCGTTGTTCGCGGCTGGCTACAATAGACCATTGCCGAATGACTGTGCTGTCAGCTGTTCAATGATAATCATTCTTTTCTCTTCCCAGGCTTCCGAACATCATCCGGTAATGCTCTGTAGGTCGCATTAAGTAGGACAGGTTCCCAGTCCACTGCTCGCAAGCTAGCGTGGCTCGCAAAACTCTGGGTTCCAGAAGTGACTGCTGTATGAACGTGATTCGAGACACACGTCCCCAGCACGTAATCGTAACTGTACTCGGTTGTATTGTTAAGAAGAAAGTTTGTGCTTCTGTTAAGATAGCTGAGAACGAAACGGAGAGATTAGATCAGAGGGTAACGTTTCTGATTTGTATTCTGGAGGTACCAGGTTTGGGTCTGCGGTTGGGATAACATTTAGCTCAGATTCTTATTTAGGTGCCCCCGGTATATTCACGATAATATTGGGATATTGCCTCGAAACAGGATAAGCCGTATGTTTCCTCCAGCATGGTAGTGGGAGGCCTCAAGCGAGCCCATGAACTACTGCATAAATTTATTGCCCTAGTTTTGTTGTTTTCGACCAGCCAACATGCAGACCGTACTTGGCTCCGTCTCTCGAAAAAACATCAGTTCTTGTCAGACGCTATAGTAAAGAGCGGTGAAGATGCGATTCCGTCAACTAGACGCATATTTCTATCGTGGCGGACTCATAAATCTATCAGGATGAGGTCCAAAGTCTATGGACTGCAGAAGAAAAGCTATCGTTTTTATAATGGTATAGGCCTAATATCTGTTTTCGCTAAGGACAGAACATTAATAGGCGTTACTTTCCAGCATATCTTTGTATGTACCTAATTTGTCATGGGGTAAATGTAAAGATTAAGTCACCCCTGTGCCTGAGAACTATGCTGTAAACAAGGGACTTCCAGGTAAAGCTCTATGCATTCTAGACATCGATCAATAGAGCGAGGCGAGTGCTGAGCCTCGCACTTCAGTCGATTTGCCTCTGGAGAAGAACCTCTGGGTTCCTTTGCATAAGAGGCTGGATGCCCCCAGATCCCGCATGGATGCGGTAGCGAAAAGTAAAATCTCTTCTCTCGCTAGTTCAGTTTGTATCTTCAGAACTCCACATCCCACATCAAAGACTTAACGTCTTCCTTTGGACTTGTTCCTTTCAGAGATCTTCACAATTTAAGCTGTACTGCTAATACTTTTAGGAAGATAAAATCGTGGAGGATAATATGGACGGAGCATGAATCACGCATGAGTGACATGAAAAATGCAAACGTTTAGTCGGTAAGTTTGAAATGAAGAAATTAGTTTAACAAATTAGCGTGTATCAGCGGATAATTCCGATTAATTCAGTCATTCTCTCGCATTTTGTTACCTTGAGACCATGTTGATATTATCCGCGTACTTCTTGCAGAAAATGTGAAGCTAGTCAGTCAGATTGTTGCCACGTACTATAGGGCTAGCTGCCTGCCTGACTGCCTTGCTGGCCTACATATGTACTCTAGCGGTACTCAACGCCAGCAAGAGTGGCGCACCAATCAAGTGTAGTCGTCAAGTGTACGCAGCGCTTTCAAAACTGGGTCTTCAGTTATTACTGAACTTGAAAAAATTCAGAAAGTTTTCAAGGCATATAATTTGATGCTACTAACTCCATTGAGCAGAGCACTTCTTGAAAGCTGACAGTTGTTCAGC